ATTGATGTAGCTGTGTCCCTGTAGTATGCTGTTTTTAAGTCCTTGGGGTATAGACCGAGGAGTGGGATAGCTGAGTCAAATGGTGACTCCATTCCAAGTTTTCCAAGGAATCTCCATACTGCTTTCCATATTGGCTGTACCATTTTGCAGTCCCACCAGCAGTGTATGAGTGTGCCTTTTTCCCAACATCCTTGCCAATACTTATTGTTGTTTGTATTCTTAATAGCTGCCATTCTGACTGGAATAGATGAAATCTTAGAATAGTTTTGATTTGCATTTCTCTAATAGCTAGAGATGTTGAGCATTTTTTCATGTATTTGTTGATTGATTGCATATCACCTTCTAAGAAGTGTCTACTCAGTTCCTTGGCCTATTTATTGATTGGGTTACTTGTTATTTCAGTGTTTAGCTTTTTGAGTTCTTTATATACCCTAGAGATTAGTGCTGTATCTGATGTGCAAGTTGTAAAAATTTGATCCCAAGCTGTAGGCTCTCTATTCACCTCACTGATTGTTTCTTTTGCTGAGAAGAAGCTTTTTAGTTTGAATCCATCCCATTTATCATTTTTTTATTTTATTAATATTGTCAAAATGACCACTACCAAAATCACTATACAAATTTAATGCAATTCCAATCAAAATCCCAATGACATTTCTCATAGAAATAGAAAAAGTGGTCATGAAATTCATCTGGAAGAATAAGAGACCCAGAATAGCTAAAGCAATCCCTAGCAAGAAGAATAAAGCAGGTGGCATCACTATACCAGACCTCAAACTATACTGCAGAACAATAGCAACAAAAACAACATGGTACTGGCACCAAAACAGACGGGTAGACCAATGGTACAGAAGAGAGGACACAGAGACTAACCCACATAATTATAGTTATCTTATATTGGACAAAAACATATTTTGGAGAAAAGATAGCCTCTTCAACAAATGGTACTGGGAAAATTGGAAATCCATATGCAACAAAATGAAATTAAACACCTATCTCTCACCATGCACAAAACTCAACTCAAAGTCAATCAAGGACAGAGGAATTAAACCAGAGACCCTGCATCTAATAGAAGAAAAAGTAGGCCTCAATCTCCATCACATTGAATTAGGCCCCTACCTCCTTAATAAGACTCCTATAGCACAAGAATTAAAATCAAGAAACCCATTCTTACACCACAAAAGTTTGTATAATAGGTTAATTTCCCTCTCACTTTCCTTTTTAGAAGTGAGGTAAAATCTTGAAGAACTGGCCCAAATAGAATAGGAAAGAATTTCTTGTTTCTCCAGTGTCCGCTAGRGACTTCCTTTTTCTGTAAAGAATGAGGACTAAATTTCCATTTCATATTAATATAGTGTGATTAACTGTGCAGATAAACATGGAAATTCAACAATAATGAAATGTAAAAAGGTCATATGCATTCCATAGACAAATGAAACCATGATATTTAAACATTCATTCATTGTAATTTGGTTTGGTGTATTAATATCCGCCTAATAGTTTTCACCTAAACTTCATTTTCATTCTGCTCTACATTCTTTCCTCAATCTGCCCACATCTTGGACTAAACAATCTTTTCTGGTACTTTCCTGGTACTTTCCTCCATGCTTTAGTAAGACACTGTTCTTTGAAGTTTCCTAAAAAGAGGCAACTCTGCATCCATGAGATAATCCAGAAAGTTCATGATAACAAAACTTAAGAGTAAGCATGTAGGCAGAGACAACAGATTCCACTTTGATACTGCAAGAGAGTAAGTAAACCTACAAAAAATTATAAGTCTAGATGACAGAAAGTAAGCCGTCTTTAAAACACTGGCCCTTCTCAAATATTTGGTTTAATTTACAGCAGATTATTTTATAATAGAAGATAGTGATAATATAGATTTATCTTTCTTCTGAACCAACTGAATGAATCACACTTATCTACCTTTATACAACCCACTCATATCTTCTTGGGAAACCCAAAATAATAAAGGAAAGAATATGGGCATATTGGACAGGGAGATCTGGCAGAAGTTTAACTCTTACATGTTGGAAAAGTTATTTAATCCTAATAAGCTCCAGTATCTTGCTTGTAATTAGGGTAATGAGAACACACAGGATTTTAAGTATATTTATAAATATTTTGACCTAAATATAATAATATATGATTGTTTTATGCACACACACAAATATAATAGGATGCAAAGCACAGTGGCTGGCACAGAGAAGGCACTAGATAAACTGAAATTTGTTCAATCTGGCTCCTGAATAAATGACAATCTGTTTGCAAAGCCTTGCCTTCAAGTTATGGGCACTCATATTTCCCCCTTTTACTTGGCCCTCAGGATTTATATACACACTACATGAGAAGATGCAAATGACCATCTCCTGAATTGAAATTCTAAGCTCATCAACTGGAACACACTTACTAAATGCTATTCCTATTTACTTAATTACAAAGGAAATACATACCTCTCAGACTATCATTACCTATTATTTTAGTAGTCATGTAAAAAAACACAATTATTATTTCTTCTTTTCTGTCAATTTAGAGGAAAATATTCTTCAGAAAATATGCACATATCAAAGGCCTCAAACCAAACACTAAGCTATTTATGTAGGCACAATACTTTTAAAAGAACATTGTATATTTTAAGCCCTTCTTTGATTTAAGAAAAATGTAATAAATTAGGAAATCAAACCTATAAATCAACAAATACATTAAATATTTCAAAAGAAAAAACTCTGAGGATAATTAAATTATATAGTGAGGTTTGGCTTGTGACTCATCTATCAGAAAACCTGGTGAGAAATGTTTGGGGCCTATATTTAAAATGATATTGTTCAACATTTACATGAAAAATAAAAGAATGGCAACTAGTTGTCTTCTTGTATTTTCATACTTCAAGTCACCTGAAATGTGATTATGATTTAGAAGTATAGATGCTGAGGCATTACTTGCTGTTTAAAAAAAAAAAAAAACAACTTAAATCATGCTTATTGATTTTATTCTTCCTATCATAATATATTTTCAAAAATTCGTTAATTATTATGCAGAGTTCACCATCACAGCAATAAACTGAATCAATGTATGTGCTTTAATTAAATGTACTTTAAAAAGTCATTCTTAAAATATACATGTACTTCATGATAGCATTTTGGGATTTTAAACTTTCAATTTTTTAAGAATCTGCTCCAATGAATAAAATGCACCATAAATTTGAAAAACAATTCCACACATGAGTAAATTAATGTCATCTTACCTAAATTTATATTAATTCTTAATTTAAGTCCTAAAATAGGACCTTACAATACCTATTATGTAGTGGTGGACACATGAAACAACTTGAAATATTTTCTAATGCACTAATTTTKCACAATTCTATGATATTCAATGGCCCCTCTGAATAAACAACATTTAAAAGAAAAAATTAATATATAATTTGGTTGTTTGTTCAGTAATTTGTTTTGACAGAGTGATTTCAGTGCCTACATAGAGTTTACTACAAGTACTAATGATCCACCTTATTTTGAATTTTGGAGAAGTTCTTACGGTATAAAKTTAAGATGTACAACATGAAGTTTTGATACACAAATAGATAGCCAAGTGTAACAACTCACTTTTAAAGTCTACTGCCAATGTTTCCTCATAATCAAATATGATTAATTTAGCCAGTTGGCTCTTGGCAATAATTCTAGTAATGGAAAATTATCATAAGCCAATATGTCTTGATTGCAAAGCCTGCCCCTTTATTGTCTGCCTAGATTCTTTTCACATCAGGTCTATAGTGAAAAGCGAAGTCACAAACAGAGGTATTAGAACGCGCACAATGGGACCACTGTTCCCTGGAACAAATCAAATTTTCAATAACTCTTATGGTAATTTGAGGGCTTCCATTATATAATCCTTCAAAAAAATAAATTATATATTTTTTTCATTGAATAATATAGTGAGTGTACCTTAATATACACAAGTAAAATAAATTAAAAGTAAATCAAAGCATATGTTTAAGTCCTGGGTTCATGAAGAAAGCATGAGAAATGTTTAAGCCTCGATTAATGTCAAATATTCGAGTTGTTGGGTTTGGCGAAAAAGGTGGATTCTCAAGAGAGAACACATTCTAAATGGGATGTTCTATTCTCCTCTCAACCCCATTCATAAAACGCCTTGCTGTTATGCAATGGGATCACTCTGCGTGGGTAATGAACATACAGGCTGATGTTCAGCGTTGACTGGTTGCACACAGAACTGAAACATCACTTATCTTTCACTTAAAAACAAAACTTAAGGGAAGATGTTTAGGCAGAAGCACTTTTGCAGGGAGTCGTTTGCATTTCTTAAGGAAACAAACCAAAGAATGTGACTGAAATGAGGAATCCAAAGGCACAACAAATGAGTACTTCACACAGGAAAGCTCAGAGCAAGGGTCTCCTAGAAGGAGTAAACCAGTTATGTGGCCAGAGATAAAGGGCTGGCATAGCTCTGGGAGAAGCCAAGCCTGAACGTGTTCGCTATTTTCAGCTGATATTGAAGAAAGGGGATTTGAGAACCCTAACATTGGCTTCCCTTTTCTTAATGTGACCGTAACCCTGCAGAATTCTCTCTATCCCAACTCGGGTAAAGAGGTCTCAACGCCGAACCTAACTCGCCTGCTTTAAATCTCAAGAGTTTACACCGCAGTCACAAATCTGGGAAACCAAGAGGGATGATCAATGCCAACGTGAGACTGCATGTTCTTTTGACTTTTGTTTGCTGGGGTTTTCATTTTCGATAGACATCCTCACTCTCCTTGTGGAGCTGGGAAAGATAATGAACACCCATATTCCTCATTAAGACACCCCCAATTACAGCCAAACGAAACCTAGAGGACCCAAATCTGTCCCCAGAACCGAATCACRGAGCCGCCTCTCCATGGGTGGCCACCTAGACCGTCCCTTAGGTCGAGCACAGTTTGTGCCTGGAACGAGGGGAAAGCATCTCTCTTAATTCCTCCCCAGACCACTCTTTCTGTATAGACCCACCTGCATGGGCGCTTCGTGTCTCATTGTAGGCAAATGTTCTTTCTCTCTAGGGCAGCGCTGGCCGGGACGCCCCGCAAAGCGTGCACAGCCCGCGCGTTCCACGCTCCACACTGCACTCTCGGGGTTCACTAGCCGGTTCCAACATCAGCACCAGAGCTGTCCTCTCCTGGCGCCCGCACACGCGTACTGGCTAGGAACCCCGAGTACTCCTGGGAGTTGTAGTCTTGTCCTGCAGGTCTTTTATGCAAACGRGCAAGCGGTGAACTACACCTCCCGGCAAGCAAGAAAGACTTTAAATAGGCTCGGTCTTCCAGTAGCACTTGGCCGCGGATCCTCCCTTCTTCGCTTTATGGGTTGCTCCTGGCTATTATYGCTCTTAGCTTCCTCTGCCCCTTTCTTTGCAAGGCTCCAGCAGAAGTGATCCCAGTGATCTCGGCTGGAGATTTTTCTTTACTAGMTATTCCCCTTGGGAAGCCAGACTGAAATTCCCTAGTTGGGAAGCGCAGTCTCGGTGCTCATTTCCAATACAAATGATACCTTCTATTTTCCCCGCCTCACCTCTACCCATCTCAAATCGGAAAAGTTTATACATTTCCATAGGATGAGTGGGGTAGTTTTACTATTTTATTCAATAAACACGAGAAAGAAAGGAAGGCACACATATAAAGAAAGTGTTTTATCTGCATAAATGCATTGAGAAGACTCGAGGACGCGCGCGCGCACACACACACATATATACACACAGAAACCGACACACGTCCCAAAGTCCGTGAAAGCGAGATTTCTCKCTGAATACACTCAAGAATTCCCTTCATTTGCTTACCTTTTCATAGAGCTCCATTGCAGCTGGAGGTTCGGAAACTCTCGAGTAAATCTCCTTGCAGCAAACGGAGTGAAAGTCTTACGCAGCAAGCGGGGCTAAACTGAAAGGCACAACACAATGGAAGAGCTAGGGATAAGCGGCTCCCAGAGAGAGACGTGGATAGGACAACTGATTTAGATGGATAACTTCTTTCCTTAGGTGGGGGAAGCGCGGAGTCTTCAAGTGGCAGCTGCAGAGAAAGGACTCAGAGTCTCTTAGGAAGTGTCAGGGGCGATCGCGCTGGGCAGCCCCTCCCCAATCCCTCCCCCAAGAACCTTCCACCGTCATTAGTGCGCACACACAGCCACCGCTGGCCGCAGGCTGGAGAGCTGATAGGGCACCGGGTTATTTATCCAAAGCAAGTCACATAAAATGAACACATTCATCACCAGAGCCCAGAAGCACCGCCAGGGAATGAGATGGGAGACCTCTATTAAGTTATTCTGTCCTTTCTTTAGCACAGAGCCATTCCTTATATTACAATCGCACTCCTCCTAGATTAGTTCATAGCATGATTTTCAAATCTCTGAACTACATTTTTGTTACACGTACCCTTTCCCATCAATTGACTACCATGTATGGCTATTTATGTCCTCTATTCCTATCTAAAGATAGCCCTCTCCCCTTAAGAGTAAATGTTGATCATCCAGAAATGATGCCTGTCTTGGCATGAGGTCAAATGTATTGTATTGGTGGTGGAGTAGAAAAGGAAACAATCATTATACTTGCAGGAAGACATGAAAGGAATAACTTGAATCCGCTTTAAACTTCACCGCATTAGACAAAGCAGTAGAAGGGAGGTTCTGGAATTTAATACATTTGACAGTCTCTTTGGGAGGGAGGGTTGAAATTCGTATTTTCAAACTCTATGTAGAGATTTTGATTGACTATATCTGATTAGAGGTCTGGGAATTTTAAACAAATACCCTAGCAATTCTGATGAAACCGGCTCCTTTACCTTAACTTGAGAAACACTACCTTAAAAGATTTGTATGTAAGACATTTTCCACCACATTTTAAGATACAAACCTTGAAAATTTCACTGTATGAACTTAATATTGCAACAACCCTGTATGGGGAAGCTATTCAAAACATTTAGTTAATTAAAGTTTGGGTTAAAAAAAAAGAGTCTAAGATCTATCTGCTAATCTATTAGTGAGAATATAATGTGACATCATCCAGATAAAGAATTTTTATAACTACTCAGAAAATGCATTTTAAAATGCTCACTTCATAATGGAGGATTATGATTAGAAAAAATTAATTTTAAATAGCCAATAACAAAATGAAAAGTGAAAGGGAATTCTATAACAATATGTTTCATGGTAGCAGCTTACTGCAAGTAATACAGAGTGTTTTATTAAGACATATCTAAGAGTGTATCTCTTTATGAGTTTTTTCCAAGAGAAATACCAATTAAATAATACTGATACTTAAATGCATAGAATTGACATTTAAYATTTGTTCAACTACTGAAAACATGTTTCTTCAGAACAATTTGCTGTATTTTTTCTACCATCAACAAATTTCTTAAAAATCAGAGTCTGACTAAAGCATATTTAAATATCATGACTATTTAACTTACAAATTTACTTTTCTTTGAGAAATTTATCCTTTCTCAGCATTTTACTATAATGACATACATCCTTGATGTATATATATATATATATATATATATTCTAGTTGTAAATGGACACAATACCTTTATTTATTTTTTTTTTATTTTTATGTGGTGCTGGGAATTGAACCAAGTGCCTCATACAGGCTAGGCAAGCACTCTACCACTGAGCCACAACCCCAGCCTACAACTTTGATTTTTTTAAGTGTGTCTTTAAGTTTGTTGAAGTATCCATAAAAAATTAAGTTTAAAAAACTAGATTTGCAAAAGGGCTTTGGGAACTAAGTTCTGTCCTACTCATAAATGTGTAGGAAAAATAAAATAAAATAAAGTCAGAAGTCTGCTAAACAAACAACAGTGAACCAGAATTGACTGTCTCCTGAAAGTCAGAGCAGTCTGATTTCGAATGTACCTGTTCCCGGCATCTCTCTTTTAATTTAACAGAAATCAGTTTAAAATTAAATTTAATTTTAATTTTAATTAAATTCAAAGGATTACCCAATGTTAGCATACCATGTCTCCCATTGAGCAAACAGGGTAATAGAGAAACATTCTTCACTTAGATTTGAATCTGGAGTTGATATTAAAAGGAGTTAATATCAGAATTAACAGAAGGAAAAGGGGCCACCAGTGACATGTGACATGAATACCTCACCATCTCAGAATGTAGAGCAGGCCCAAAGTGACCTCCTCAGGGTCATGCAGACAATCCGAGGGATAGCTAGGTTGAGAACTCTCTAATCTCTGCTTTCAGATTCACTTTTCTTTGCCACTCCCCATGTCCCTGCTCAGGCACCAGCTTTTTGCTTCCCTGCATTTACCTAGTATTCACTTTGTTGTTGCTTTATTAGTATTTGCTTTGCTTTTTTCCTGAATTAAGACTTAGGCTGAAAACTGAAACTACTGAAGTTTGGCATAAGGATTAAGGACACCCTCCGGGATTCTCTATGCCCCTCATGAAAACCTGACTCAAATCCACAGTTCGTGGATGCGAGTCTAATCTTAGATATTCCTGGGACCATATCCAATTGAGGGCAGGATTCTTCTGGCCTGAGCCCTATTACCTTTGTCTGACTCACCATATTTGAGGTTGGTTTTGATTTCAACCCCGTGCAGCATCCATACCAAGAAATGCTATTGATCGTTTCAGGTTCCCTTTAAAAGAAATTAAGTATTCCCATGGAACTATTGATTTTTTTTAAATTAAAAGGCAAAATTATTTTAACTCATTCCTACTCGAGAGGTTTTCAACACTATAAATAACCATTATAAGTAAGGTGCTTTGTAAAAAAAATGTAAATGTACTAAAACCAATAAATATGGTATTATTAATAATAGCCCTTTTAAACACCTGTTTGGTTGTAGGCACTTGTATATATTATTCCATATAATACTTAATAATATTGCAAGGTTATATAATTAACCTTATTTTATAAAGAAGAAATTTAATAATGGGGTTAAGGACAAGTATTTTGCTTAAGGTCAGGAATTGAAGCTCAGGGTTATCTGATTCCAAAACCCAGACAATTACCCATGTTTTTCCTTGTAAAAGGTAATGTTAGTTAAAAATAGTATATTTTATAATCTCTTGGAAATAAGGTTTACTGGACTTTGTTCTTGACAAAACTGATACAACTATAGGTATCTCATGGAATTATAAGATTGCTTATATCTTTTAAAGAAACACTTTTTAATTTGAAAACTGCCAACATTTTCAGATAAATAGCAATCCATTTGATTTAGCAGAATGAAAAAATAAATGAAAAGCCCACAGCATGGGTTTTAAGTGATGACTACAGACTGAACCCTTTAAAACCATGAACCCAAGCACATCTTTTCTCTTTTAAATATATTTTTTCTCTAATAATACAATTTAAAGTCCACAGTCATTTGGCCCCATCACTGTGAGCTTGTGGTGAAACTCTGAGAACATCTTGGCAGGGAGAGTGTGGTGGAAGAAAGCCACATGGCAGTTGGGTAGGGAAGAAGCAGGCAGCAAGAGAGGGAGCAAGAGAGAAGGACCAAGGATAGGATTTACTTGTCCAGGGCATGCCCCGAGTCACTCACTTCTTTCAACCAGACCCCACCTTCCCCATTTTCCACCACCTCCCCAATAGTCCATTCAATTATGAATCCATCAACAGATTAATCCACTGATGAGATTAATGCCCTCATGACCCAATCACTTCCAAAATATTCCACTTCGGAACATTGCTACTGGGGATTCAAGACTTCAACACATGAACCTTGGGGGTTCCCGATCCAAGCCATAACATCTGCTAAACAATCATCCCCACCCTTCATGCAAAATGCTTATTGAAGAATTGGTTTCAAATTGATATTATGTTCCCTACCTCTTTAATAAATCTGGAGGTACCTCCAAAGAGATGATTCTCATTATCTTTACAAAAATTCATTACTCTTATAATGCTAGTATAAATTTTGATAACAATTTTATAATGAAGGCCTCTCTTAACTATGTACAATGTAGATGTTGAGCTCTCCAAGAGGCTTTTGACCTGGTGAAAGAGAAACAATTCAAAAAACTGACTCTGAGGACACTGAATAGCCTTGGGCAACATATTTCAGAAGACTCATAGCAGTATAGAATTGATGCCATAAGATTGGAGAGCATGCTACTGGCACCCAACCTG